TAAATGAATAGCTAAAAAATATTCAGGATCGCTAAAAAATATCGTGTAAAGCACTCATTATCCAAAAACAAAATCATGTACGAATCAAGCAAAACCAAATCAAGCTGTATCACGGACATTCGAGTCAACTTGACTGATTCCTCGATCTGATACACGTGTGTTTGCAGTGTGTCTTCACTTGAGTCACTCAGTCGGTAAGAAAACGACGAATATGTGGGAGGAGAACATCCGGTAGGATCCACGAGCGTGCAGTTGGTCTGCATGAGTAGATACACACGTATCTACAACTACTGTATAATGTACAATGTATAATGTATAATGTATAACAATGTATATGCATATGTTGCGAAAGCGATGAGAAGGGGTTGTGACGGCCAATCGGCCACGTTAGACGAGCTGCCAGTCACGCAATTATGTACATCAATCGGTAGTCGACGACCGATCTGGCCGTGTCGAGTAGGGAAAAAACGAAAGCTGAAAGCCCGTACATTCGTGTGCATGCGAATAAGTTCCATGCCGTGCCGCAAAAGAGCTTACACATCGTACCCTTACCACGTCGTACTCTGATACATCTACCCGTTTCCGATCTACCTATCCATCCATCACATTTTAACATTGACGCGCGAGAGTTTACGATATTACGATATTACGATATTACGATATTACGGGGAAATCTCTTCGTATTTGAATCATTTATTTTTCCAAATCATAAATCCAAATATCCGATATTTGTAATATTCGATAAATATATCGGACAATACACGTGGAGTGCTATGGCAAATTTATGGAATAATTCGAAAATCCTTCCGATCAAGTACAAGTATTGTACGATTTAATGTAGAATTTTCGATCAAATTAATAATTTAATAAGAAAAGAATCTTACACGGAACTTCTATATGATATGTACGTCTGAAATAAATTTTCGTGAATTTATTTCTTCGCTCGACAAACTTTCTTCTTTTTTTAACGGAGTTAAAAAAAAAGTTGGACAGTTGTAACGTACGAGGTAACAAAAGACAGATTCAATGTTGGATGATATATCGTTCTTTATTCTTCGTCGATAATAGAATGTTTCACGCTCGAGTCAAACTTGACTTTCTATGCTATGAAATTGTCTTCAAGAAGAAGAAAATTATTCCAGCAGAAAGTGAACAAACGAATTGTAACTCTCACCTATATCCCCCCTCTTGTTACGTGCCAAGTATAGACGAAATACGTGAAATTATTAAAATTATAAATATAGATCGTACGCCACAAGAACATCGTGAACGTATTAAATAAATTAAAGGCCGCTCGATAAAAATAATTTTATTCGTGAAAGTATCAATTTGTAATTTTAAAGAATAAAAGTAAAACGAAACTATGAAAGTGTTTGTACGTTCTACAGACGATATTTAATCGAGTTGCACGAAATGAATGGAGCTACTGTAATTCTGATTCTGTATAAGTGTGCGAGTGTGTCGACGAACGACTAACCGTATATTTTCCAATAATAAAAAAAAAGGGGAGGGGGAAAGAGAAAGAGAAGTGAGAATTTAAAGATAGACTCAAACTCTTCCAAAGCACACTTCTAAAAAACTTAACGATACAACCATGAGCAACGTCATTTTCAATCGTTGTGAAACTATTAGGAAAAAAGGAACAAAAAGAAAAGAGCAAGAACGAAATTACGTTTCAATCGAAAGAACCAAGCGAGAAGAAAATTGGCGTAAAACAGACGAAATATTGCAAAAGTTTATCTCCGAAATAATATTAAGCGCCTGTTGAACGCGAGTGCAATAAAATAAGAGTTTTTATTGCAACGCGAGGAATTCAAGAGCTTGTCCTTAATATTTAGTCAAGTCAGGACAAAGGTCAGCTTGACCGAGTAAATTTTTATTTTGATTGTTGCGAATAACAACGACAGATGGAATAATAGCTGCTAAAACGCGATCGACGTAATTATAATTCAAGCAGGACCACTTTGTATTTTGTTGCAAATGTGTTAATTCAGTCCGAGGGAATATAATACGAGGATATAATACGTATTTGCGTACATAAATGCTAGAACGAGTCGAAAATATTTCCGCGAGTCGTTAATATATATCGCAAAGATATTAAACATGTCAGAAATTGACGCTAGAATTTCTACTAAAAATTTGCCTTTTTAAATTTTTATTCCGATGATGGCATTGTTCGAACCCAAATATGAGTCAATTTCCACGAATGTTGTTCTCATCGATAGATAGACAGTGCATCGATGATTTCATGTGTTATTTTGCAACTGCTTTGTCATCTCTGACGAATCATCGAAAATGAACGAAAAACAATCTTGCTTGAGGCAAAGTCAACCATACCTATTACAATGTATGTAACTTTGTCGTGGGAAAACGGGAATGTTAGTTAGAAAGGGTTGTATAATGTGCAATTGGAAAACTAAACGTTCGAAAGTGAATGATACCCAGTGCTTGTGTGTGGCAACTAGCAGCCGACAGCAAAGATTACAAACAAATGTGGCGACTTGCACCCAGAGAAGGCAATAACGAACAAAAGTCTAAGCAGAGAGACTAGATAGTTTCATAAGCGATCTAATTGTTGAGAACTCGTCTTACGATTCACGGGAAAAGCGACAGCAAACGTTCGTTCGCCTGGCCGCTACAAATTGTTTAATTGCTCAACTCTCTCGCTGTGGAATTTCTCGACGATGAGCTCACACGTCTGCGATACATGGCGCTTCCGCGAGGATATCGGAATTTTTTCATCAACGATAACAAAAGAAACGTAAACGTTTTTTCTTTTTTTTTCTTTTTCATTGACACTATGATACGAGAATGAAAGGATGGAAGGAGTAAAATTACATTATATCACGTACGAATGATACTTGACGCATCATAGAAATATTTTCAATATTACACATGTTTCTTACGTTTCTTATGATATATATATATATCTTATGTTTGATGAGTTAATACTTGCATAATGTTGACACTTTTCATCTTTTTTCTTTGTCACAAGTACTTGTTACGAATTGATTGTTCAAAAACTATATCGATCGTAATTACTTATGCGATTAAATCATTTGTTTTTTGAGTATTGGACCTTAATCGTATGTATATTTGAGAACTGAAATCAAGTTTGTGGAAAGGCAAATTGATCGATTGGGCTTTTGAAATGGGCTCGAATATGTCTAAAAATTTATCTGGGAATTGGATTATCGATAATCGATGTCGATAACTGAAAAAGAAAAAGATGTGTGATATGTGAGTCGGAAATTACTTTTACGTAAATACATCGAATTCTGCCAAAGTTCACTTCGAAATTGAACGTATAGAATTAAATATTTTAAAAAATATGCTTGAAGTGCGATACTAAAAGCAACGTATGTTGCATATTTTTGTCTCTGAGAAGAATCTATCTGTAACGTGCAAATCGTATGTATCGAGCGCTTCTTCTCTTCGATAAGCTGAAATGCAAACTAATTCGTTTTCTAATAGCAAGGTTTCCTTATTCTTCTTAAGAAAAAAGAGGAACTTGCAAATTCGTTTCTCTCGTCTTTCTTGATGAAGTATAATGGATGAAGTATATGGAACGTAATCCCGAGAGGATAAATAAGATATGAAACAACTTTCTATATAGATTCCTTCGATTCGAGAATCTCTCGAAATCTGGAGATCTCGAAGGGTGACGATTGGCCGGAAAGACGGTTTTGAAACACCGGAACAACGCGGGGGTGCCAGGCGTAAGTAACTTTTCAAATCTGAGTTTGTCCGACCGACAGATAACAGAAAATGCAGTACGTTCCAAAGAAACTTAACAAGCTTACCTATCTTCGAAGGATGGAAGGTTATCGCGGGAATAAAGGCAAAGTGCACTCGATGAGTGCTTTCCGTTTGAAAAAATTTTAAAAAAGCACTTTGTTCGTAAGTACGTACACGTATCTGCTTTTTATCTATTATCTAATTACTTTTGCTCCGACGTTTGTAAAAACGTTCGAAAGATTCGATTAACAAGTACGTGTAGATTAAATAAGAAAAAGTGCTGGACAGTATTGTTTCAAATCACCGTGAAACAAACAGCCGATTCACTAGCTTCGCTAACTGGAAGAAAAATCAATCACGTCTTTTCTCGTTAATAAAATGCCACGGTAGATTCGCGTGGACAGGAAATATGACAGGAAATATCCTATTACTAAACATTATGCATTTGTGATCGATTGTGTGACTCGAGGATATGGAGGATCCACCTGTTTTCGTCGGAGAGGAAATTCGTCCCGTGAGATCTTCTTTCAAAAGATAAACGATTTACAAATGTAGCTGTTTGCGAAACTGTTTATAGCAATGCTGGTGGACATCATTCGCTTATACATATGTGTATGTGTAGTAGTATTGTTGGACGCAAGGACGGCCTCAATGCTAAAAATAAGTTTAGAAAGAAAAAATATTTGGCAATTTTCTATCGTTCGGAGGCATTCTATCGCTCGAGACATTCGTCGTTTAATTTTATAGATACAATTATGAAAATCGGAATTTCTGTATGCGAGCTGTGTTTGAAATTCATTTTGAAAGAGGTGTATACGTTTGGAAGTTTCCGAGTCATTTTTTTTATTTCTTGAACAACAAAAAGTGAAAAGTGTTCTCCGAAAAAGTGAAAATCTAAAACACTTTCAAAACTCTGTTGAAACTTACCGAATTAATTAATTAACTACTGTTACAGTTAACTACTTAATTAACTTAATTGACAATCTAATTGACAACCTAACCAATTATCCAATTGAAAAATAACAAATTATTCGATTAGTATTGGCAATCTAATAACCAACGATCGACTCGAAATTTCGAAATGTCCAGTATTACACGATTCCAGTATTTTAGAGGGAATATTGAAATTTACGAAAATAACGAAATGTTAAAACTTACTTGTACGACAGGGTGAATATTCCTGCGACTCGTTGAAGTTGTTGCTGACGACCCAGCAAGTACCAACGGGTTCTCTCCGACTTCCAACGGGCGAGTCCTTGCTCCATCGATTGTCTTCCGGATCGTACTTGGACTGAGACACGGAGAACCAGATGTACCTTGGAGCGCACGCCTGCGAATACATACATAC